CCAGGCCTGTGCGTGCTAGGCAAGTGCTCTACCACTGAGCTACTCCGAGTTTAGAAATGTTTCTGGCAGCATTGGGGCTTGAACTCAGGGCCTCACACTTGGTAGGCAGGCGTTCTAACTTGAGCTCCTCCGCCAGCCTGTTTTATTTACTTATTTTTATTCATATGTGCATACAATGTTTGGGTCATTTCTCCCCCCTCCCCCTCGCCAGCCTGTCTTTGAATACTAAATGTAAATCCTGTAATCTTAGAACAGTTTAGCATTTTGATAAATTTAAGAATCAAACTCATAATTTATATATAGGTTCTATTTATTTTTTTGATGGTACTGGGGTTAATGCAGTTGCTCTACCACTTGAGTCAAATTCCCAGTCCTTTATGCTTTTGTTTTTTTGAGTAGGGTCTCATGTTTACGCCCTAGGTGGCCTGAACCAGAATCCTTCTGTTGATGCTTCCAGTGTAGTTGGGATGACAGGCACTCACTACCACACCCAGCTTTTTATTGGTTGAGACGGGTTTCATGAACTTTTTCCTCTGGTTGGCCTTGATACTTGATCCCAATCTCAACCTCCGAAGTAGCTAGGATTACAGGCATAGCCGCCATGTCCAGCAATGTATTAGTTTTAGATTTCTCTCTAGCAAATCTTGGGCAGTACACATATTTGAGTAGTTATTTTTCTTACTCTCCAGCTTAAAACTTTTTAGTGACCTCCCTTCCCTCAAAGTGCTTTTTCACACTATGGGAAGATACCCTCAGGTATCTTGATATGGTATGTAAGTATGGTAGAATAAACCACAGGGTAAAGAAGATGTAGTTTTCCATATCCTCAAATTAAAATATCAAGATAAATTTTATGCATTTTTACATTTTAGTATCATGTAATAGGTTATAAAACTGTGGTACTCTTCAGATAAAGCTCAAGTTTACAGAAAAAAAAATCTTCAAGTGGTACTTTCTTGTTTCTGGCACAGTACTGAATTAAGATTAAGAAACTGAGGTGGGGATATAGCTCAGTAGTAGAGTGCTTTCTTTGTCTAGCCTATGTGAGGCCCTAGGTCTAAATAATAGCACTGAAAGAAAAATTCACTAATCCAAATATGCGACTAGAAGGGCATAAAGGCTAAGAACATAAATAGTTGCCTTTGTACAGAGATGAAATTGTCATTCACAAGTAAATGGATGGAACTGGAGAACATAATCTTAAGCGAAGTTAGCCAGGCTCAGAAGGCCAAAAATTGCATGTTCTCCCTCATATGCAGATTATAGGCCTAAAACAAATGCAGTAATATTATTGGACATGGGTCACACACTAAGGGGAGAATGTGTACGGGAGGAATAGGGAAAGTGAAGGAAACCTAAAGCTTGAATGTGGTTGAAGTGCTTGCTCACTGTAGAGGAGCGAATTCAGTAATCTTAAACTGGCAGAGGCCACTCTGGGGACTAGGAAGTAGTGAAGAGATGAACCAAAATGGGTTGCAATACACATGTGCATGGAAGCAATGCTAGGAATCTCTCTGTATAGTTATCTTTATCTCAAACTAACAAAAACACTAAGTCTTTCTTATTATCTCATGTATTCTCTTCAACGAAATCGGAGAACAAGAGGGGGAACAGGTTCAGGTTCAGGTTCAGGGTGTGTGTGTGTGTGGGTAGAGGTGGCCCAGTGTATACACACATGAGTAAATGTAAAAATGATAAAGAAAAAAAAAAAAAAAAGAAAAAAAGAAAGAAAAGAAAAAAAGAAATAGTTGCCTTTGGATGGTGGCAAAAATTTATTTTTGAGACAGGATCTTGTAATGTAGCCCAGGCTGGCTTTGAACTTATAACCCTCCTTGCCTCAGCTTCCTGTATGGATTATAGGATATACACCACTGTTATCTGGCAAAATTCAATTTTTAAAGTTTTTTTTTTTTTTTGCCTTTTATAAAGCTTACTTTTTGCTAAGAAAAATTATGAAACTTTTTCATAAAAAAGTTTAATTTTTAGGCTGAAAGTTTCATTGCATTATCAAATATTTATAACTATAAAAGAAACCAGATTTGTGTGTGTTTAATTAACACAGTTTCAAAACAACAACAGATTTACCTATTCTTTTTCTTATACTTATTTTTTTTGGTTTGGGGCATAGGAAATGATACTGAAAACTCTCAACCAAGAATTCAAGAAGTAGTTCTTTTTTATATATATTTGTTGTGATACTGGGGTTTAAACTCAGGGCTACACACTTGCTAGGCAGGCGCTATACCACTTAAGCCAATCTGCCGGCCCTAAAGCAATTCTTGTATTACTTTTCAATAATATTTATGGCGATACTAGGGTTTAAACTCAGGGCTTTGTGCTTACAAAGCAGATGATCTACCACTTAAGCTACACCTCCAGCCCAATATTGCCAGTATATTTAAAAGGTTAATATTTGTAAATAAATGAGGCAGAATTAATGATAGAAGTGTTATATCCCTCAGGTGCATTAAAAAACTATAGATATAAAGCTCGCATGGTAACACTTTCCTGTAAACCCAGCTACTTGGAGGTTGAGGCAGGAGGATTGTGAGTTTGAGATTTGCTTGGGCAATAAGAGTAAGACCCCCAACTCAAAACAAACAAACAAACAAAACAAACAAACAGAAAAACACATCCACAGGTAAAGTTTGTTTAGATCATGGGAAGACTGGTCAATGAGACACTTGGCAGACTGAGATTTGGCCTAATTTTAAAAAGTGTATCAGAGTTAGTTGGGGGGGGGATTAAAGTGGTAAAATGGCATAGAGGCACAAAGGAAAAGAAAGTATGGATTAGAACTAGTTCATTTGAAGCAAAAATGAACAATGTAGAAAAGGATGAGGCAAGATCGTGGAATATCAAGCCAAGGAGTTTTTATCCTATAGGAAAAAAGTGTTTTAGAAGATTAAATCAGTGATATATTAAATCACATGAAATTGTTAGATGAAAACAATTAGAGGTAAAGAACTACTCAGTTAAGATGCTGCTGGAAAAGAAATGGGAAATAATGAAATAAGTATAGTAGCAATTGCAAAGCTGGAGGAATCAAATGATTGAGGTTTGTTTGGGCAGCTGACAAGTTCAGTGTTGTTTGGAATCACTCACCATTGACTCCTGCTAAACTGACCAAGAGGAAAACAATTTCAGTCATTGAAAGACAATTAATAAAATCTAATCATTACACAATACCTATTAACCACTCATTTAAACATTTTGTTTATATTCTAAATGGTCTCAGATGGAAGTTCTATAATCTTTAGACTGACTGATGAAAACATTGTTTTATCTGCCTAGATCAAAAAGGCTGAGGCAAGGTTGTCTTAAGAAGCATGGAAAACTGAATTTGTACATTAAACTAAAAGCTAAAATAGCTGTGAGGTCTGGCATATATAGGAACAACTTTTGTTCCTATTAGTTACTATTCTCCCTCCCTACGCATCTCTTTACTATTCCCGCACACACTAAAAATGTGTCAGCTTCAGGATCTTTATATTTGTTATTTCATCTTTTAAAATTTATTTTTATCATATTATTATTGCACTGGAGGTACACTGTGAGACTTATAAAAGTCCATTACAATATATCATAGTTGAATTAACCCCCTTCATTATCCTTTATCCCCCTACTCCCCACTATTTCTTCTTGAAAGAGTCTTCTTCTGGATACTACATGGTTTATTCCCATTTTGTTTTTGTTCAAATGTCATCTCTGGACAGCATCTCTTAATCACACTATTTGAAAATATACTTCTATCTTCCAAATGCCTTTACTCCACTATTCCCATCTTCCCTCCTTTTCTCAGTAGAACTCACAAAGCATATACAAATAGCTGTGTGTATGTGTGTATGCATACATACATACATACATATATATATATATATATATAGTTTTTTTTTTGGGGGGTGGATATATTTCATTACCTACCCGTTATCCACCAAGACTGTAAACTCCATAAGGTTAGGATTTATGTGTTTTGTTTTGGGATGATCTGCATCACCTAAATAGAATAAATTTGTACCTTTGTGTATATAAACATTTCAAATCTTTAACTTTTTTGTTTGTTTTATTGACAGAGTCTTGCTATGTAGAACAGGCTGGTCTCAAACTTGTAACCCTCCTGCTTTAGCCTCTCATGTGCTAGGATTATAGGCATGAATCACCATGCCTGGTTTCAAATTTATTTTTAATGCTGCTTGTCGAATTTAACTTTTTCATACTGCCAGAAAAGACATTAATGAAAATATAATGGCATTTTAAACTAATCACATGGAAACTATAGGCATTCCCAAATACTATAAAATGAATATGAAAATAAGCCAACTATGAGGCAGTACCTTATAGTTCTACCACCTTCTAAAGACACTCTTATTTTTTATTTATCACTCCATCAATAAGCTATACCCCAAACTCCAAGATCTTTTTATACTGGTGGAGGTTGAACTCAGGGTTTCACACGTGCTAGGCAAGCATCCTATCACTGAACCATACAACCCTTGCCCTTTTGCTTTTGGTTTGTTTTCTGGATAGTTTCACATTTTTGCCCATCCTGGCCTTCGACTGTGATCCTCCTACTTCTGCCTCCCAAGTAGAGATATTCTATAACAGAATCGTTCATTTAAGTGGATAAAAGAAACTTATGAGTTACAAAAGACAGATGCATAGGACACAATCAAGCTAAGGAACATTTAGTAAAAAGTAGCTTCTAATTTTTCTTGTTTTGGTTGGGGATATAGCTCTGTGGTAGAAACTATGGCTAGCATGTTTCAAGGCCATGTGTTCAATTCCCAGCACTGCAAAGAGAGAAAACAAACAAAAGAAATATCTGGAATCTATTTCTGATGGAGAAATTAGTTATTCAAACTATTGGTAATAAAACAGAAATTTATAAGAAATCCCTTGATACTATTAAGAAAATAAAGTGTTTTAGTGGGTGAGAATGTACTGATAATGGTCTCTTATTTCTTGCCCCAGATATGTAAGTGACATAGCTAAATACTTACTATTGCCAAATCTATCTGAAAAGTTTAGGACATTAATTTTTCTCCTTTTTGATAATATTTAATGAGAAATAACAATTAAGAATAAAACTTTTTCCATAAGGAAAGGATAGCAATATCCACCTGCAAAAGGAAAAAAATATAATTTAGAAAGCCAATTTCTAAATAAATGTATATATATATATATATATATATATAACCACAGAAATCATACCTTATGAAAATATAAACTTGCTAATCCAAGGATGGCTAATCTGTGCATGTACCAGTAATGGTACCTGCAGGCTTAAAGACACCTAAATGCTATAATAACCAAATGCTACATAATTGAAGAAAATCTTTAGTAATTTAATCTGTGGCTATGTTTTCAAATCTACTATCTACCATCTGTGTTACCATGAGAGATTTGGAATATAGGATGCAAACAGAATTGCTGAACTACTGCAATACTCTCCTCACAATCTCCTGGATACTAGTCTGAAGTCATCTCAGATACAAACTCAAAAGTGTATATCAACAACAGACGAAAGATACTAATATTAGAATTATTTAGCATCAAGTTAAAAAGAAACCTGACCTTTTTTCCAAAGAAGATCAGAAACACATTGTAAACAATGTGCATCCCTATATAACTATTTCTTCTTTGCAAAATAGCCAAATGAAGCTTAACATATGAAAGGGTATATAACTTTTTATCTTACTACTAGCTCCTTTCAAAATTAACCAAAAAAGATGGAAATTTGTTGTAATTTTACAAATATAACTTTCAGTCTTGTTAAGTTACCTAAATGTGTGGTTCACTAGGTACTGAGAATTTCTTCTTTTCTGTGAAAAGACTGCAAAGAACCTATGTACAATTATAATAGTTTTTTTTTTTTTGTAGTGCTATGACTGTACTACATCCCAGTCTGATTACATCAGTTGTTTCTTTAGTGCTGGGGTTAGAACTCAAGGCTTCACACTTGCTTGTCAAGTGCTCTACTTGCATGAGCCATGCATTCAGCCCCTGATTATCTAACTACTAATGCAGTATTTTTTTCTGTATTTTCACATCTGGAATATTCAGATATAAAAATTCACTTGGCAAATGTAAAATGCAGGATTTTATTCCTTGACATTTAGGAGACATTAAATAAAATTTGTCTAAATGTGACTTCAGTCATTTAGGAACATACATATCCAAAAGAAATCTAACTTCTGAATTGTTCTGGAAAATATTGGATAGTATAGTAGACAAAACTTATAACTCATTCAGTGCATATTTCTAATCATCTATTTTAGTGAATTCAAAAATTGTATTTGTTAAGTCTTTTTTGTTAGTCTATTCTTAAAAATGAGTTTTATTGTATATGCAATTTTACCTTTAAATTAGAATTTAAGCAGTAGGTCCTTTACCTTTTGAATATCTTAGAGAAACCTGAAATACTTTTTTCGAAAATGGACAAGTATTATTGGAGAGAATTAAGAACTGCTTTTACTTTGTACATTTCCTGTTTGCTTACAATTGAAAGAGTAAGATGCTTCTTATAGAAAACAACACCAAAGTTATGGTACACTATTCAGAGATACTCAACTTATCGTGAACACCATTTTTTTTTTTGGGGGGGGCAGTTCTGGGATTTGAACTCAGGGTCCCATGCTTGTTAGGCAGGTGCTATACTACTTGAGCCAGTCCATCAGTCTTTTTTTGTGTTAGGTATTTTCGAGATAAGATCTCACAAACTACTTGCCCTGGCTGGCCTGGAACCATGACCCTCCTGATCTCTGCCTCCTGAGTAGTTAGGATTATAGGTGTGAGCCAATGGTACCCTCCTCCATTTTTCAATTTATTGACTTAAAGCACCACAAATAAGGAATAGAAGGTAAAGAGAGCATTTTCCATCAAATTTTAATTATATTAAAATATTTTGACTGTATTTACATATATAAAATTGATAATTAAATCACAACTTGGTTTTACTCTAATTTAAATATCTGATGTAAAAAAGTACACAAGATCTTTATATTTTTGACTTGGTAAAAAAATCTTCAGCTGGTAGAGGGCTCAAGTGATAGGATGCCTGCCCTGAGTTTAAGCACCAGTACAAAAAAAAGAAAATCTTTGGCTAAAGTTTTAAGAAAACATTTTAATAAAAATAAGAAAAAAATAGACTATTATAAAGCTAAAAGATAGGATTAGGATCTTAATTTGTCATATGTTGCAAATTAATTTGAGTTTGTTTCCTCAGTTACCTGATTATATAGGTCAGTTCATCTGTAAGGATTTCCCTATCTTTAAAGTTATGATTAAGTACATTGAGACCTCGATTTTCAGGAATTTAATTTGCATGTTTTTCTCTCTTCACTTAAAATATGTGGAAACATTGCTAAGAATTATTTTCTAAATGGTTTGAAATACATAATATATTTCATACTTTGTGATATAAGAAAATATCTTAAGTAATTTCAAATCAAAGAGAAATGAGTACCTGTTGTATCTAAAGTAAAAATCTGAATTAAAATTTATACTATTATAAATATACATTAAAATAAATTCAGGGCTGGGCATGGCAAATGGTAGACTGCCTGCTTAGCAAATGTGAGGCCCTGAGTTCAAACCCAGTGCCACCAAAAATAATTACATTCCTCTGGTGCTTAAGCTCCTTTGAGAAACTTTTGTGTGTGTGGGGATTGAACCCCAGGCCTTGTGCATGCTAGCCATGTGCTCTAGCCTGAGTGAGCTACAGCCCTAGCCTTCAAGAAACTCTTGATGGCATTCAAAACAATTATTAAGTTGCTATTATAGTCAGCTCGCTGTATCTGTGGACTCAATCAACCAGAGCAAAAATATTTGTATCTATACTGAATATGCACAGACTATTTTTTGTCATTATTGCCTAAACAACAATTTACATAACATTTACATTGCATTAGGTGTTTTTAGTAATCTAGAGATGATTTTTAAGTATGCACAAGGTTGTGCATAGGTTATATCTCAATATTCACCATTTTATGTAAGAGACTCCAGCATGTGCAGATTTTGATATCTGTAGGATTCCTGTAACCAATCCCTCATGCCTAACAAGGTGTAACTCACTGTAAATTATTTTAATAGACACAGCACAGGTGGAAAATTATTACTAACATTTTTACAGAATACTACTAACATAGTATCAATAACACTGAAAACACACCATCACTAAAACTGAAAGCACATCAGCAACATTAATATTAAAATACAGTTGTAGAGTATGGCCAACCTTACTTCAGCAGCACAGTTAATACTGGAGATAATTTTAGAATCTTAACACCAATATTTACGTGCTGCTAAGGCACTGCTGACATTGCTATCATAAAGGCTATGAATGAAAAGAAATGTATTTTCTTCAGAAGATCAGATCCTTGTATTTTTGAGGCAGCACAATATGGCCTGCACCTTTTCAAAATCCACAAACCATTATGTGCTGCTACTTTACTCCAAGGTTTTTTTTTTTTTTTTTTTTTTTTAAAGCAGGTATTAGTACCTAAAGAATAAAATTATTTTTCTTTTAGGAAAAAAAAGAGAATACATTTAAAAAATCTACATTTAAATATCCTAACATTGGTATTATATGCAGTTATTTTTAGATGCTTTTAAGTAGAATAAAACTTATTAAATAAAAGATAGTTACTGAGTACCCAACAGTGCCGTAAATTTAGGAATCTTGAAGATGAGTATGAGGCAAAAAATTATTTTCTGTGCCAAATTAATAAGGCAATACAATTTATTAAGTATGTAGTCAAGCTTCTAAATATTTAATATCTGAAGTTATTTTTCCCTTTGAAAAGCAAAAATGTGAATTTCTAAAAATTAGTTTTTACCTTGATAAGAGCAGAATTTACAATGGCATTTTTTTCCTTGCAGTACACCTTTCAAAAGCCATCTTCATCAGCGTAGGTAAGACTTCATGTCAAGGGAAAAACATAAAATCATACACAAGAACTCAGTTTCAATAAACTTAAGTTGTCCAAATTCAAATGTACTTTTAAAAACAAAGATTAGAAATCACACAAAATATCTTAATACTAATAAAGTAAAAACACACAAAGCCCCAAATGAATCAATTCTCCCTTAGGTAGTGTTAATGTCTAGAATATGAAGCCTTAGAATGGTGTGGTAACTTGATATCCTGAGAGGATATAAAACAAAAATCCTATATTTATTTGTCTTTCTATGCCTTACCTTCTCCACACCTGTTGCCTAGTTTTCACTTAACTGTAGGAATTACTTCTCTCTCTAAAAGATACTAGCAGGGCTAGAGGCATGGCTCAAGTGGTAGAGCGCCTGCCGAGCAAGCATGAAGTTCTGAGATCAAACTCTAGCATAGCAAAAATAACAAAAAAAGATACCAGAGAACTACCACCACTCTAACTCAAGCCTCAATAGACATTTCCATTCCAGTTTTCTTATTATAATGGCAATGTTTTTAAAGCCACATTATTTTTATTATATAATATTAAGATCTGCACAAAGCATTGAAATTTGCCCTTTCATTATAATATCTGATTACACAAAGCTGTCATATATTTCACATTTATGCTTTGTATTTTCCCATTATTAATAATAATGTAGCTAATTCCAAGTATAAGCACTTAGCACTTCACCTATTACTCTATTATTGTCTCAAGTTTCTCACATTTTTTTTTTAACATGTAACCAAGATAAATCTATTTGCAGTGACTTAAGGGATACATAACACATATTTGTAGTTTTCAGTTACATTAAGGAATTTTAGGCTCTTCCAACCCCAGTTTCTAGATATGAAGGGCTATTTTTTTTTCACTTAACAAATATTTTATTGAACACTATAGTATGTGCCAGGACTACCTGATTTGTTACACTACAGTTGGTGCACTAGTGTACCAGATACAGTCTTTTGTTTACAAAGATTTTTTTAAGCTAATAAAAATTTTTTTTATTGTTGTGCTGGGTGGGAATACATTGTGGCATTTACAAAAGTTCTTACAATGTATCAAGTATATCATACTTGAATTCACTCCCTCTACTGGTCTCCTTCATCTCCTCTCCCCTCCCCATGTAGAAAGAATTTAAAATCATTTAAATTGTAAGACAAAAGAGTCTTATAGTTTTAGATCTCACTATTTTGAGCTAATTTCTGTATATGGTATAAGGTAAATGTCTAACTTCATTCTCTTCTGTGGGGATATCCAGTTTTTCCTAACACTATTGAAAAAGACCATCTTTTCCCCATTTATGAGGACTTTTGGCATCTCTTGTTACCTCTGTTGAAAATCATGTGAACATGCATAGGCAAGAGTTCATTTCTAGGCCCTTGGATCTATTTCCATTGGTCTATAGGTCCAATAGCAGTACTCACTATTTTGAATACCATAGTTTTGTAGTAAATTTTGAAATCGGGTAGTGTTAAACCTCCAACTCTATTCTTTTTCAAGTTTGTTCACTGTTAGGGAATAGAAGTGCAAATGATTTTTATAATGTGTTGATTCTGTACAACTTTGCCTTATTTAATAGTTATTATTAGTTAAAAAGTTTTTTTTTTCTTGAAAGTTTTGGGGTAGAATCTTCAGGGTTTTCTACACATATCATGTCATCTGTGAAGAGAGATGATTTTACTTTATAATTACCTTTTATACCTAAATTTGGTTCAAGAGCTATCTGGTAATTCTGGTCCATTCATTCTCTCATTCCCTTAGAAACTGATGTCTCTCTTTTCATCCTTATGAAAATAAAAGCCATCAAGTCAGGCACGGTGGTGCATACCTATAAATACCAGCTACTTGGGAGGTAGAGGTAGGAGGATCAAGGTCTAAGACCAGCTTGGCATTGTAGGCATGTACCACCACTTTGCCCAGCTTGGAAATTCTTAACTTAAATGTATTAACAAATCAAAAGTTTCAGTGGAGCAATTCCAGGCTGACAGAGAAGGTATCTCTCTTTCTTCACTTGTATTCAACAGCAAAATCGTATCTTATATCTTCCAAAATGCTGTTTTGTTAAATCAAAAACTCCCTTAAATCTATGTTTGTCCCCACTGTCACATGACAGAAATATTTAGATGTTAATACATAGCATACATACATAGTGTTTTTGCTTGTTTGCAATTTGACATATCCTTATGTGTCAGTATGTCACTTTAGATTTTTAAACAATTTAACTTGTAATCCAGCACCAACATAGTAACAGTAATTACTTTCTTCAAATCCACTTCAAATTTTGCCCTTCAAACTCTAACGAACTGGCTGTACATAGCCCCTGGGACACAGAAAGACTATCCTTACTTAAAAAGAGTAGAATAATGCACATGTACAACATGTCAATAATATATATAGCGGAAAAATTAAAAACAGTTGTTATTTAATATTTTTAAGGAAAGTTCTATGACAATTTACTAACATGCGAATTTTTTCATTACCGTTGCAAATTTCAAAATTTTAGTAAATGTCCAGATAAAAAAGTTTACTGTAGACAGAATATACTTTTGTTTGACCTTTGATTCTTGGATATAAATGCTCAAAAACAAAAAGTTTACATTAACAAGAGAAGATTTCTTTAAAACTCAGACTGCAATAAAACAATATTTAGATATAATACCAAGACTGTTTTAATGTAAAAATGTAGTTTTTAAGTGAATACCAAGTTTTATATTATGTGTTTCTATCTATTCTCCCTTTTACTGCTTCTGATGAGGAAATGAATAAAAGATTGCTTAAAACCTATAATGAAGTGGATTTGAGTCGAGACAATTTGTTCCCACAAGTCAGGTTTATATATGAAAGCCTCCAAATATCTTTTGTGTGTATGTGGCACTAGGGATCTAACCCTACAGGCAAGTTATCTACCATTGAACTATGTCCCCAGTCCGAATGTTATCATTTTAATATTAAATTCCCTAGCAATAGTTTCTTTGTGTTCAAAGTTGAACTACTTACAAGTGAAGCACTAAGTCGTTTTAAAATTTGGTAACTTTACTACTTAGAAATGAGTAAACCACAAAAAATACTTTGTTAAGAATTGCCATTTGACAAGAACATAACATACTATTTACTACATTTTCCCTAGATACATTTTTTGATCACTTTTGTGCCCAGTGTTACTCTCTACAATCTCGTATTCCATTAGCCAGTAAAACCAACTAATAATTTCTTTGAGATCTCAGTTCATCTATTTCTTTGATAGTCTTAATGTTATAATTTAAAACTAGGCCTAAGTACCTTATACCCACTACTACCTTTCAGCTGGACTTCCAGAAGCTCATACATTCAAGAATATATTTGATTTCCTAAGTAGAGCCTCTACATTTCTGCCTAAGCCTCAAGGGCCTATACAGTATTTTCTACTTCAGTCCAGTGGAAACCACCTACTATTCCAGTTAAAAGTTTTCTTTTTAAAAATGTTACAATCAAATGCAAAATATGGACCTTTCTGAAGCAAGCAGGAATTTTAACAACTAGATATTATTACAGTAAGGTATTACTATGTTAGTGTTAAAAGTATAGTGGCCATATATTTAGGGAAAAAGAGTCCTTATACTAGAGTGGCATATGAAGTTATCATCAGTAGACAAAAGATTGACTAAGCATGATGCTATTATGGCCACAGGTAAACATTAAGTGGAACAAACAAGTTACTCCTTATTAGAATGCTGTGATTATTCTCTCCCAGGGCATGAGTCTTTAAGGCCCTCTCAAAAAATGAGATGCTAATAACAAATTATTTTCCAGTTCTTTTCTCCCCTAAGCTGTAGATGCCTACCCTCATCTTTTTTTTTTTTTTAAATGGTTTTGACAACAATGGAACCCACCCCATTTTTGACTCTTCACTAATGCTAATGCTGTAGGATAAAATATTCACTAATGCCCTTTCCATTCATCCCTACTTTTAAGGACAATTTATGTCTATCTTCAGTGGAGTTTTGGATATTTCTAGCAGAAACTGAACTGTCCATTCACACTTCTCAGTACCGAATACTATGCTGAGCAAATAACTGGTTTCATTATTTCATACCTATCCCTCCATTCAAACTGGACTAGCTATGTGGTGATCTTTTCCTGGTATGGCCCATGCTATTTCTCCATCCCTGTATATTAGTCCACTGCAAATACCATACTGCCTTCATCCCTCAAATCTCTGCTTTTGAGTTTGCTGGCTAAAAGAAAAGATATGGAATGAGTCCTAATTACTACACACAGAATCAAAACAAGGAGACACTAACAACAACAATGCAACAACATAGTGGCCAAGAAGCAAAACGGGCAACAGGAAGGAAAAGGGCTCCCAATATCCCCTGCAAATGCACACCTCCAATGACCCAACTTCCTTTCATTAGTTTCATCTCTTAAAAGGTTCTACCACCTCCCAATAGCACCACAGGTCTGTAACTTAGCCTTTAAGCGACCCTTCTAAACCGTATGAACTTTAAGAAGTTGACATGTTAATAAGGATTCAGAGGGCAAGCTGCCAATTTTAAATTCTGATTATAGTGCATCAAGTCCTAGTGTCATAAAGAATCAATTTGAATAACCAAACTAAAGATGTGAAAAACTGTAAGGCAATGTTAATAAGTGAGAATTAAGATACTTTGATATTATCTTTGATATAATAATAATAATAATAGTAGCTTTGCTACTATTGTTTCACTAAACATTTTAAGCAGAGGTTCTGAAATCTGATCAGTGGTAATGTACTTGAAAGTGATGGCATTCTTTACAGTATATAGTACTAAGTATTTCAAAATTCCATCTTCACAAGCAATATATAATTTCACTACAAGAAAATAAGGTTATATAAGCTATTTAAAATAAATCTGTTTTAATAACACAAAAAATAAGTATAAATTTATTTTTTAGGTATAACAGGAAGAGTCAAACTGATAGCCTAAGCCAAAAGTCAGGTGTGACAACTGTGTGTGTATGTATATATATATATACACACACACACATATACACATTATATGGTAGGGAGATTTTAATTCAGGACTTTTGCCTGGGCTGGCCTCACACTGCTTGCCTCTTGATCTTTGCCTCTTGAACAGCTGAAATTATGGGCGTACACCACCACACCTAGCCCTGAACATATATTTCAATATTGCATTCAACTTATTTCTCTTTTTACATGGAGATAGTTTAAAAACTCAAGCTTGTGGTTGACTATGATCAAAGTACATTATATGTATGTATGGATACATTATAACAAATCCTGTTGTCATGTACAATTAAAAATTTAAAAAACAAGACTCAAGTTTCAGACTAATATGTAGTAGCTAAAGGCAAACTTATATTGAAGGATCTGGGGCTGTTACCCAGTATACTTATGCTTAGAGCTTGAAATTCCTATTATACCAGTCTGTTATATTTGCATATTTAGTTTTTATTTAAATCAGGCCTGTGGTTTAAAATTAGCCTTTATTTTAATTTTTCTAAGAAAACACCTAAAGTAACTTCGTAAATATGAAATCCTCTAGTATTATTCTTTAGATCTATCTAGAAGCTGAAAAGTTGCTCAGAGTGGGGAAAAAATAAGTCCATAATTTTGGTACTAGAATTTAAAATTTTATGGCTACAATTTTTGAGAGCAGAAAACAGTCATAACATAAAAGTTCAGATTTAACTTAATTATTCTGCTAAACATATGTAAAAGATGTAAGTCTTTCAGAACACCTAACACTGATTCTTAATCAATGAATGTCTAATTGAAAGATTAAGAATCAGCTAGAGCATATTGTGCACTTTTTGATTTGCTACAGTTACTACATTAATAGAAGTTCATCTTTTATCAGTAAGTATATAAGGAATCCTTTACCACCAGTGCTGACATTAGCAGGTACTCTTATGATTTTTCTGCTTTGGATTATAACACCCTTCACCACTGCCAAATAAAAATTTCACTTTTGGCATACACCTTTCTCCCAGAAAACATTCCCATTTAAAAAATTATACAAGATATTAAAATTTCCTCATGAATGATGCAGACAGCAATTTAAATTAAGACTAAATTTCCATCACAAATTAAAAATAGAATTTTTAGTTCTTGCCTAGTGCAAGAAGTAATTTCATCACTACAAATCTTTATTAAAAACAAACAATTTATATCATTTGCCGTATCACGGATTACTTACTGCCCCACTGATTAAAACATTTTGATTTTTTCCTACAGTACTTCCAGTCAGTTCTACATTTATGCTATTTATAATTCAACAATGGACAATATTTTCTAGGCAGGTATGATTACATGCCACTGTTGTTTTATTGCTAACCTGAAAAATATTTAAAAAAACATCTTGGTAACTAGTCCTACAGGGGAAACAGTCTTTTTTTATGAGACTGTGATTTGAACTCAAGGCTTTGTATTTGTAAAACAGGAACTCTACTGCTTGAATCACACCTCTAGTTCAGTTTGCTCTGGTTATTTTGGAGATGGAGTTTCACTATTTGCCAGGGCTGGTCTTGAACCTCGATCTTCCCAATTTTGGCCTCCCATGTGGCTAGGACATAATCTTTGTCATTTCTTTTTACAAGCACAACTCCTGAGAGCATGCAAATTTAATAAGTCTTCTGAATTAGGAAATAGTTTTATTTCTGAATCTCTTCTTAGGCAATAAAAGTTTTAGATCTTTAAACTGAAACACAAACTGAAAAAATATTTTATCTCCTTACTCAATTTGGAAAAATGAACCCAAAACACTGCCACTATTCAATTTTGACAGCAGTGACTATATGAACACGACTGTGCTACAACTTCTAAAGCACCCATATTTCACAAATGAACAGCTTAAAGGAAATCCCTACCTTAAAGAAGCTACGGTATATTAAATAAACATTAAGAGAGAATGGAGGTCACAGAAACACAAAATCACATAAATCATTGACTACTGTCACTATGTACCTACTTTTCCATGTATTGTTTAATTGGAACTATTATCTACATTTAAAAGATGTTGGAGGGAATCTTCCCGCTTCCATTTCTTGCTTGAGGGCAGGAACTGTTTCTCTGTCTTTTTCTACGCCCCACCTCTTGTCTATACTTTATTCTGTTATACTAAAATAAATCCTTGCTAAAATTTTCAAAAAAAAAAAAAAAAGATGCTGGAGAAGAGCCAAGAAGGACTACTTAGAAATTTATAAAGGAGATGAATTTAATGTTATCTGTGCTTATTAATCAGTTAGAAGAGAAATAATGCACATATTTCCTTTTGAAAAGTGGATTGCCCTCCAGTACACAGTAGAAGTACAATACTAAATGAAAAATAAATTTTTTTCTTAAGTTGAAGAACGGTGATCTGGCTTCCAAGGGACCAATTAAGGAAGCCCAGTCCGGATTATGTATAGGGCTTTGAAAATGTTTCCATTCTTATTTTCTAGAAATAAAAATATAAAGGGAAAAAAATAGAAAAAGTATGTAACCTGTGGCATTTGGCTACAGCTTCGTAATCTGGCTGGTTATTAATGGTTGTCAAGTTTTTAATTGGCCCCCCAAATGTCTATTTATCAAGTCTGTTTCCATTTAGATAGGGCCATGCCTCAATATTATTAGGAAAAGAAATAGTTTTACTTCAGTTTAAGTTTTCTTTAGAGATGTATAATATACTCAAGTAGTAGATGGAAATAAATCTTTTTGATAACTCATTTTAGGGTCTCAAATACTTTTAGGGAAATAACTAAACTTGTGCATTTAATATGACTTTGATCTGTCATTTTTCTAGGGATATAACACTAATGTCAGCTAACCTATTAGAATCATTCTGTTAGATGGTTGGGTGCCAGTGGCTCATGCCTGTAATCCTAGCTTGTTGGAAGGCTGAGATTGAGAGGATTGCAGGTTGAGGCCAGCCTGTGCAAATAGTTTGTAAGACCCCCATCTCAACCAATAGCTGGGTACAATGGCATGGCAGCTGTCATCCAGGCTACAAGGGAGGCTATGGTTGGGAGGACTGAGGTTGCAGGGGTCAGCCGAGGCAAAAAGAAACCTCATGAGACCCTATCACAATGGAAAAAGCTGGGCATGGTGGCACGCACCTGTCATAAGCCTAAAATTAAGAGGATAGCACGGCAGGCCAGTCTGGGCAAAAAGTGAAACCCTATCTCCAAAATAATCAGAGGAAAAAAGGCTAGAGGCATGGGTCAAGAAGTAGAGCATCTGCTTAGCAAAGCTCAGTCGTGAGTTCAAACCCCAGAACTGTCAAAAAACCCAAAAAATTCTGTTAGACTTTACAGTGTCAAGGCTTAAAGAAATTGGGGGAATATGTTTTCTTTTATTCTGAGAGGTATGCATGTGTATATATAAAAGGAAGGAAAAGGACTGCTTTCCTGTTTTTTCTACTACTACTCACAAAGAAGTCTCAAATGTAATCTAACAGGATGTAAAAATAAGTAAATGAAAAAATATTTAAGTGGAGAGTACACTCTCCTTATAAAATCATTCAATAAACCTAGTTGGGTATGGTGGCTCACACCTGTAATGAAGCAGCTACATGGGAGGATAGTGTTTGGAGGCCAGCCCTGGTAGGGAAAAACACAGGACCTAATCTTTAAAATAACTAAAGCAAGTGGCTCAAGTGGTAGAGCACTTGCCTAGGAAGTGCAAGGGCCAGTACTGTTCCCCTACCCCGAAAAAAAAAACACCAAAAAAACTCAAAGCAAAAGAAACCCAAAAGAAATACCAAAGACCATTACTTATTTGTAAATTTCTTTGAAGGAGAAGAATTCACAATTGTGATTCTCAGGCTTAGAGATGACAGGGCCTGACTATAAAATTAGACAATTACTGTAGGATGAGTAGAAGAGAAAATAAAAAATAAACTGAAACATAACAGCAAACAATTTTAATAGTAAGGTGGAAAGGTTGAGAGTCAATACTTACAAAGTAAATGCTGGGCTAGGTAGGGGACTGTTTTTTATGGTCTTCATTTCCTCACTGTTAAACCTAGGAAAAAGATAATAGTGAAGACTTTAAAATTTTAATCACATTATATAAATCAGAACATTTTCAGCTGAGGTAAACAATTTTTTGATTAGAAACAATTTTGTTTCTAATCCTTATACATCACAGAACAATCACAGATTATAAATACCATATAGCAGAATTTGCATATTTTATTCCAGTGCATGGTTATGTTTTTTTTTTTTTTCTTCAGGTACTGGGGAAAGAACCCACATCATTAGTTTTTAATTTTTTTTTTTTTTTACCATTACCTTCTAGAAGTGTAAAAGTTGAGTATGGGGCTGGGAAGTGTGGCTCAAGCAGAGTGCCTGATTAACAAGTGTGAGGCTCTGAGTTCAAACTTCAATACCACCAAAAAAATAATTAAAAAGTAAGTCTCAGGTAGCAGGATGCTGTGCTCAGCTGGTCTCCATGCTGAGTGATGTACTGATTAAAAGGTCAAGTACTGAGGCAAGAAGTAAATCTTGAAAAGATTCCAGTTTTAAGGGGAAAATAGTATACTGAATTGACTGGCACTCCTGATGGTCAAACAGGGAGTTGCCTCTGCCACTGAGCCACAAACCAAATTCTTAAAAAAAAAAAGTATACCTCAAATATGTAAGTGCAACTAAAACTCATACTCAATGTCTAATGTGGAGCATGATGAGCTTCTGGAAGACATTACATAACTGCAGGTATTTTAAATTAATTCGAGATCATATCCCAAGTCTTCTCTCTATAGACGCACCCTATGCACAGACAAAAACTAAAATTCATATATTGTCCAGTTCTAAGAATTCTGTTGTAATACAGTACAGGGTAAAAATACAAAGTTTAAATTGAAGTTTACAATGCATAAAAGAATCTTTGAAAGTAATATTATGATTCTATGGATCAAACAAAAGTAAATACAGTTGTGAAATTGCCTAAATCAAAAGAGTAAGTGAAAGAGCAGTGATAAGAGAAATTGTTTTCATGGTTGTCCTTTACTTGTAAGAGTAGGAAGGATTAAAAGGCAGTATACAATAGCAGGAAATATATTACAGCTCAGGTTTAAAAATAAATATATTAAAAGATATCCTAATAACTTGAGTTGGCTAGAAGGTTTGATTTCTGTGGGCCATGATTCTGAGTTGTACTTCCTATATTAAGTAATGATGAAACACTTACTACAAAATACAAAATAGGAGGAATACAACAAATCCGTTTAAGCTCCTATTGGAGCATTCCAAGTGCATATTTCATAGCAGAGTATCTTCATCACAACAAAAGGGGTTTTTTAATTAAATTTTTTTCAAAATCCACAAGGGGGAAAAAAGAACCCCAAGAAAATACCAAAATGAATTTCTACATCCTATTCTTGAGCCCCAAACCCAGCTCTTATTCTGCCTTGTTTCTTTTGCTCTTTTAAAAGAAAAATAATTGCACATGAAGATCCTTGTGTTTCATACCGTGATCCGATTCCACTCTCCTAAAATGCAATTTTAATCTTGAGTTTGGTATTTCCTGTGCATGTTTTTATACTATCACTACAAATTCAAGTATTTAAACCAAAACACATCATTGCTTTCAAGCTTTACATAAATGACATACCAGTCACATCTCTATCTCTCTTTTATACTCCTTGCAATGTTTTGCTATTAGAAATAAACAAGATTTTTTTTTTTTAAAACACATCAGAGTTTACCTAGACACCTAGGAGTGAAATTACTGGGCTCAAGACTACTCCATATTCAACCTTACTAGGATGTTGCAAAATGCTCCACAAGATGATATGAAAAGTTTCCCTTTTTACCTTTTTTCTCAACATTTGAAAGTACATTTAAGAAAAATAGCCATTATCTAGATGAGAATTTAAAAACTTTTTAAAGTGATCAATTTCCTTCTGGTTTCATGAAGTAAAATGTCTAACATAGGTATACAAACTGTTCCAACTAGAATAGACTACTATTATTTGGCCCAAGGTACTGTCACAAAAATAAAACTCCTATAATATTTTTTTCTCACATGATTGAATACTTAATTAGAACTACTGTACAGAAATGATTAGATTCCTAATTAGACCCTGAGCTTATTAGCTTATTATTTTGACTAAAGAGGAAAAAAACTGCAAGAGAGGCAAATGTTTGATATGAACAATCCTTTCATTTCATTTTGGGCAATACTTCTAAAAGAAAAAAGTCTTTTTTACAGCTTGTAAAAAAAAAAAAAAATGCAAATTCCAGACCCCCAGAGTCCAGAGATTCTGATTTAGCAGGTCTGGAAAAATGCTTAGCTTATTCTGGTACAGCTAGTCCAGGTATTCTTCAGTAATTAATAGGAGAATATAGGGGTGTTTTCAAGAGAAAGGATTATGCAACTCACTTTTTGGTTAGAAGTAAGGAACAGTAATTAATATGTTATCTGTTAAACTACATGAACATATTAAAAAATACACTAGAAGTAAACTAAAAAAATGTTAGTATCAGGGTTGTCAGAGTGGCTCATGTGGTAGAGCACTTGCTTAGCAACTGCAAGACCTTGTACTGCCAAAAAAATTGAAATAACAAAAAATGTAATATCACTTATGGCTGAATATGCTGATTTCACAATGTCAGAATAGGTTGTGGGCTCATTTGTTATTTCAGGTAAATAAGCACATAGTATGACAAAAGCTTTTTTTGGTAACAATCCCAGAAAAATGGTAATATGAGTTTATTGTGATAGAAAAAGGAAAAAGAGTGGGGTGATCAGGAATGATTTTAATGAAGATCATCAAGGAGAAACTACAGTTACCTTTTAAAAATAATGCTATCGCAAATGTCTGACTTTAAATTAGGACCTTAGGCTTAATATTAAAACAAAACGTCACTTGTAGATTCTCACCAATAGTTCTACAAGTGAAATCAAAACTTTCATAGAAATCCAATATTCACTTTCCTGTAACTTAATCTACTGGAATTACATAGAAATAAAAATATATCAGGTTATATCAATTTGTGCAAATTCAAATTGTAACACTCTTGTATATTATTTGAAATTACAAAGTCCCATTTCCAAAAGATTTAGAATAATCCAGCATGGTATCACTTTAATAAGGAGAAACAACAAACATAGTTAACAGAATGAGAAAATAGTTTAATAGTGAGAAAAAATAAGACTTATAAGTCTTCACCTGTAGCCTGCCTTGGTTCTAGTTATTTACAACATAGAATAGTGTAGGAATGTTAAAAAAATTATTATTATAGTGACATCAATGAGAATTCAGCCAAGTTTGGACTAGGCTATAAAACAAAGACAATATGGGCTTAGAATATGGCCCAAAAGTGAAAGAAATACTCCTGTGTGGCAATAACCAACTTTTCTTTTCCAAATATGTGTTCTAATTTGTCATATAAGCAACTAATTATTTTTTTCTAGTCTCTCAGCTTAAATTAAGTGAAATGTGTGAAACAGCATATATATTCCAGAAGACAGTTTTCCATTCTAACAGGTAGAAATTAACTGAATAAAAATTAAGTAACTAAAACCACAGATAGCAAAAAAACCCCAAAAAACAAAAAACAAACCCACAATAGTCTAAGAGAACTACAAATATCTACTGTTCTTTTTATGCTGCTTTGGGAAGAAAATACCTTGCAGTCAAAGAAGGTATTCTCCAAACTGTATATGGGTATACTGACAGTTGGGCTCTTGCCACCTTGCCTGTAAAATCTGATGGGTACAGGCTTCGTTGGCCACCATTATTGTGTATTGATGGTATTCTGTAAATAGCTGACAAGCAGCACTGACCTCTCAGTAACTGCTTCCAGCTGTAAGGGACAAGAACAAGGGATGTGGTGCTGATCCTCGTTTCGTCAGTGCTACTGCAGCTCATTAAGCAGCAACCTGAGAAAAACATATGTAACTAACACATAGAGGAAAAAATGGTTCAGCTCAATGTACCTATCAAATCCACTTTTGTATCTGTGTATGATAAAATTACTTAAGAAGGAATGTTTTTCCTTAAAAAGTAGAGATGAGAGAGGAAAAGAAAAGACAACATTTGTGCTATGGATAGAAAGAGAACCTGCACAGTACTCAAGAAAAAAATGACATGTTTAGGGGTACCAAGTATCAAAATTCTCTGAAAAGTTTTAACCAGTGGATGGGCTGAATGCATAAAGAAAAAGACTATATTTCCTAATATTCTCCAGGAAATAAAGTGTTCAAATTCTAATCAAGAAATGAAATTAAAAATGGCCCTGGCTCTCTCCCAGGTACCACCTATCTAATCACCACCATATGGTGATTTTAGACACTATTAGCACAGAAATGAGTTTAATACATAAAGATTTTACTTTTTCATTTTTTTTTGGTGGTGCTGGGGATCAAACTGAGCAGGTGCTCTAGTGCTGAGCCACACCCCCAAACCTAGTCCATAGAGATTTGACAAAAATCCCAACTACTACAAAAAATTTCCACATGCAATTTACCTACTTTAAATGTATAATACAGAGTTAAAAATGTATTAAGTACATAGTATCAACTGATGAGTAATAGAAATAGATTTATTCTGTTAAATTACCTTTAAATATAATACAATGTTACTTACAGACCTACAACTTTAAATTTTAAATCCAAATCATCTTTTGGCACCTTAAGCAATTTTTTTTTTGAGGTGCTGAGATTGAAACCAGGACCCTGAACATGATAGGCAAGAGTTCTACCTACATACAGCCCTCCTTAAGCAATTTTTGATTGAGAAAAATGTAAAAGACCAGAAAAATTTGGACATTATTATAAAACCAACCAACCAATACATACACAACCTAGAACTGTCTGGTAAATTTGAATTATAATACCTAACCATGAAGGAAAGTTTGACATTTAATAAGAGTATAAAATCTAGAATATTCTAGCTTCAGATATTTAAAAAAAAAAAGAATCCAATCTTATCAAAATTGAAAAAATTTTGTTTAGTAGCTCTGAGGAGCAATGTTAACAAAAAATAGTATTTTCAAAGATTACAGGATAGCAAGATAACATTGAAAAGATTTTAGCATGAAAACTGTATGATAAAAAAGACTAACAAATCCTAAACTTAGACATTTAGAAATATTAATGAATTAATCAGTTTTAGAAATCACACTGGAAACAGACTGCATGTTTTTCCTCCAAGTGATTACATCAAAATAGGAAAGTAAAACCAACCCAAATAGTATGTTAATGAATTATCAAAAGTATAGTTTGTAGTGGTAAGAATAGAAATTCTACTCAAAATATTTAATAAAAATTTAGAACCCTCAAATTAACACTGACTTTTGACAAATGCTGATTGGAAAATGTCAATTCTGATATATTAGGTCTTATTTGAAGAAAACAACAGAAAGAAATTAAGGGTATTATTTGCTACTTTAAGAAAAAACATCAATTATATACACGTACAAAACTGCTTTGAATAAACATTATAAAATTTATGTCTATTATTATAGTACTCTAAACTCCAAAGAAAGCTGTTATAGTTGACAAACTGCCTATAAATTGTACTTATAAATTAGCATTATACATCAAAACTAGTGAGTATTTTTAAGTTCTTTCATTTGTACATATGTTAATTATCTCTATCCTAGATTATTCAAATATTCTTCTTATCCCAAGGACAACTATTTCAGTAAGAGAGAGACAGTATAGCTATATTTTAAGGACAATTAATATTTTTTTCCCTGAAAGTAAATTTAACCCTGATACTACATTTAATCAATATTATCCAAATGAGATACAAATCACTGGAAAAAATTTTAAACAAATCACCTTCCTCAAATTCTGATAAAATGAACTACATATTAATTAGATAACCAGATCTGCAAATTTAAAAATCAAAATCCTTCAGTGAATGTGTAAAAGAGACCCAACCATATATAACAGTACAAACCTTTATTAACCTGCTTCCTAAAATAACACTACTCCTTAGTTTCTCACCTGTGAGAAGTAACCAAATAGAAGAAAACTTCGTATCTGTACTGATGCTTTTAGATACTAAATTATTTACTAAGATAAATTTCTAGAAGTTTAGAAGCCAGTAGATAAGGAAGGACAATGATAGATGTTGTTTTTGTGTCTAAACAAGTTTGATACACTCAAACATCACAAATTATGAATTCTATAAATAGGAAATAATTTTGTGGGTTTATATTTTTATTCACAATATAAATTCATATACTATACTATATGTCTTCCCTCATTTAACTCATTAAGGTTGCATCAAAGATATATAGGTTGAAAGTGGTAAACTGGACCTGAATTTTTTTCAGATACTACTATTTTTCAATTTTTTTATTACAAATTTTTTTATTAGGATATATTCGTTATGAGGGGGAGAGTCACAGTGACAGTTCTGATTAGACTTATATTGTACATCTGTAAGATCACCCCATCTCAATTTTCAACTTAATACACTCTAACCTGGAAAACATGGGTTAAATAAGAGAGGAAAAATTGTACTCTTTTATCATCCTATTCAAAATAAACTCAATAAAATTCTACAGTCAAAATTATGAAGAGTTCCTGTATTTTACATTTATCTCAAACATCCACGCTTAGAGTGTGATGAAACCAAAATAAAAAGTACCAAAAATTCACCCTTAAGTTCTGATTTCTATTAAACTTTAATATTTTATTTTAGCAGGTTCCTATTTCTGGATTATCTAACATCTAATACAAAAATTTCAAATTTCAGTTTTTAATATTTTGATATATATCTCAACACTCAAGCATTCTTAAACACATCTCAGAATTAGTGTTTAAAAATTTACATTGTTTAAAAGTTAAAAGCAATCTTATGAGCATAATTGTACTTCACTTTAAGACTAAATTACACTTTTTCTTATGAAAACAAACCTTTGGGATTTTTCAATTCTTAAGTATGTAAAGTACATATTTTTATGTGAAAGGACTTTAAAGAAAAATTACACTGTTATATTTTAACAACTCTCATTTTGTTTACTAAATAGGTTTATTTAAACATTACTGTTAATACTTTACAATAAAAGAATTAACCAAAAAAAACTTAGTTAATAGTGTTCAGTAAATTCACTTTCAGGTTACCATTTAGAAAACAAAAATTCTATTAGCTAAATATTACATGAAATGTTCAACTAATACTGTAACAGTCAAAATAAATGTTAGAAAAATGGTTCTGTGATAAAGTATTTGGGAGGTTAAGGCAATAAATTTATGATAAGTTTAGGCATTTTACAATTTTATTATTAGTTTGCAACTTTTGATATGAGCAATGTAAATATTTTAATCACAGTATCTATGAGTAAGATACTAGGTTTCTGCTTAACAAAGGAGGTTTTTCAGTTTCAACCAAATTGCCACTTTTGGTTAGAACAGTACTTGGAATACTTTTAAATTCTCTTAAAATATTCTCATTAATCTTATCTAATTTTGTAGGCTCTACCTACTTCTCTACTTGTCAAACAGCCAAGCACCAAATTCTATTGATTTACCCCTCCCATTTTATATGATGAAAAGTCCACTACATAATTAAATTATCTTACACAACACACTGTAACAACACCCTTAACAGAAGGAAAAAAAAGAAAAATCACTATTAGATACTTATTTTGGGAACAAATACACTCAGTTGGAGTTCAATCTAACACACTACCATGAGAACCTCAAATACATTAAAAAATATGGAGCTTTTAATAAGCAGGATACTCAGCTTTGGCCACTTCACAGGATTTATGTTTTTATTTTCTGATTTTAATTCGCCTAAAAATTTTTGTGTTACCAACTGTCAATTCCAATTATACTGGAAAGATATATAGTGATAGGCTTTTAAAAATTCATCAGTATACTTTAATCTCCTGTCATGTTCCAATGTACTATGTGAGTATTCAATCAAAGAAGTTAGGCTGTTTTCCAAGAATTGGTTCTCTCCTAAAGGTCAAACCCTGCAATAAAAATGTCATGTATTATAGCATGAAGATACTCAACAGATTTCTGCTTCTGCAGTTCCACAGTTGATCACTGAACACAGAGGTAAAGTATTCAAAATGACCCCAATCTTGCCAATGCTGAAAGAAGCCCTAATATGAAAATGGTTTTAAAAGAGAAATAGCTTGATTAGGAACACCTGTGATATGTTTTACCATCCGAAGTCTCTTCAAACAAATCAGATTAGTATGTTTCTGCTTTCATTTCTCTTTAGGGCATTCATTTTCAAAGTAGTGTAGATGACAATATGCATGTAGGTAAGGCCCTGGTAGAAGGGACTTTATAAGGAAAATATCATAAATATTACTTGTGCTTCTAAAACTCCTAAAATCCAATAGCTTAAAAAATTACTCAAGAGATAGGGACAAAAGTTAACCTACTTCCTCAAATTATCAAATGTTATTACCAATAACACACTACCTTTATTTTCAACTTTAGTCTTTTGCTGAGCCTGAGTGAATAATACTGACTTTCCAGATATTTTAATTACAATTCTAACAGATCAAATTTAGATTTTAAAAAATAAATTAAAATATTTACATGTAATAAATGGACCACCACTGGGTCAAAGTTTTCTTTGTTATTTCTAGTAAAGGTGAAATGTGACAGTATATAAAAAGTAGTTTAAGTAGTTTTATGATTTGTTTCACCTTTGTGAATCTTAATGGTTTAGTGACAATCAACTAAATAAAAATATTATTCAGTTATCAAAGGTAAAAATGTATTACATGTGAACCATCATGCCGAGTGAGTTTTCTACTCTTACATAATGGCTTAGGAAAATAAAAGAATAAAAGCAAAAAAGACCTCTATTCCTTGCTGCCACATATTTGACTGCTTAAAGAAAACCTCATACTCATGTATCTCAAAACCAATCCAAACAGCATGACATTTAAAAAATTAAATTACTTTTACATAGTATGGCTCAACAATAGTTTTCTATATTTAAGCACCCTGAAAATTAAGGTGCCCTAAATTTAAAAGTTGCAGAAAGAAAATACAAAAGTAAATGTTAAGTTTTTACTATAGTAACATAAGTCTTTTAAATAGCAGAGAAACAAAAAATACCAGATAATTAGGAAAAAGAGAGGTCTGGATATAAAACAACACAAATATTAAATCAAATGTGTATGATAAAAAAAGACACTAAAAACCTTCAAATAGTAAAACTCAAATCTATTACAGATTATTTATCTTTAGAAACCACGAGAAGTCTTTCCAATGCAAAAATTGTTTAGTAAAGACAAGATTAAATGAAAGCATATTAAACTTCTCCTAAATGGATAAGTATTAATAAAATCCACACTATGTATATTTGATACCAATTCCATTATTTGAAACTTACAGGAAGATCCTTTAAACCATCTCTAATACAAGCAAGAAAAAAAAAAAGAGGCCAATTTTTTTTCTTACCAGAAAGCAGTATTTATAGAATTGTTATTTGTACATGCAAATAATCAAATATATTGACACATACATATAATAAATAATATATATTAACACATATTAGTAACGATGTTACTACT